GGGTAGCATTTCATTCAATTGTACATGTTGTTGTTAGGTGACATACAGTCGCGTATAACTCATACTGACACTAAGAACAACAGATCTGAACCCTGCACTATCCTGTGCCATCCTCACACTCTTTGACATCCTTTAGTCCATTGCTACAATCACTTTGCCAGTCCATCTGGTTGAAAGTCTTCCTCTTTTTTGTGGACCCTCCACCTTTCCAAACATGATGACCCTTTCCAAGGAATAGCTTCTCAGGGTATGTGAGATGAGGCTTCATTATCTTTGCCTCCAGGGAGCATTCTGGCTCACTTTCTCCAAGACATAATCTGTCCTTTTGGTACTCCATGGACTAGTCAGCACTTCTATCCAACATCACGGTACAAAGGCATCAGTTGTATCCGGCTTATTAGCCACTGACCAGCTCTCAGATGCACTTCAAATGACTGAAAAGACCATGGCTCCATGGCTTGAATCAGGCACACCTTATTCCTCATACTGACATAATTCTCAGTAATTTGGAGATGTCCCTGACTTCACACTTTCCCAGTGTAATTCATCTCCTGATGTCCTGACTGCTAGTACCAAAGGTTATACACAGACGATATAAATTACGACACCTAACAACTGAGCTACTAAAAGAAGAGTAGATCATAGGTAGTATGATGGAATATTTGGTTTTAAAGTTGAAAAAGACAGGTGGTAGTTGAGAAGAAATAGTAATACTGGACACATGATAGGCACTTAATAGTTTTGTGGTTTTTTGGGGGGGTTTTGTTTTTGTTTTTTGTTTGTTTGTTTGTTTTGGTTTTGGTTTTTTGTTTTTGTTTTTTTTTTTTAGTTAAATGAGAAGCAGAAATCAGTAACATTTATATTTATAGCTCCTTCCTAAAGGACACTCCTGCCTTGATAGTCATGTACATCATACCACCTGACTCCCAATTTTTAAATTGTTAATTTTATCTTTTATAAAATGACTTCTGTAACATTCTCTGTACAGATTTGGGGGGGGGATTTGAAGAGGTTCTGTTGGCCTACCTTATGCATATTTGCTGGGAATGTCTTTACTTCTAGTGTTTTATTATTTGTTTTAAGGAAATATGTTACTGTTATTATTTGCCTTAGAATTGCCTGCAACTTATAGTGACCCTATCTATGCACAACCCTATGCTCCATCCTGAGCCAACATTATTGTCTCATGACACCTTACCCCAGTCACTGAGTCAATCAGTTTCATTAAAGGTCTTACTCTCTTGTGCTGTCCCTCTACCCTCCCAAGCATGATGTCCCCATCCAAGGAGTAGCCTGGTTTCACCCACTCTAGGTCAAACCAGTTCTCCTAGCAGTCCATGGTATATTGAATATTCTTCTCCAGCACCACAGCTCAATGGCATCGATTCCTTTGTCATCCCTAGTCATTATCCAGCTTTCTGACACATAGCAAGTAATTGTGAAGACTGAGGCCTTGATTGGGCACACCTTGGTCTCCAGACTGACATTGTTGCTCCTCTATAGGACTCTGGAGAGGTCCCCGACAGCGGACTTTCCAGTGCAGTGTCTTGATTTCCTGGGTGCTGGTACCAAGAGTGTTGATTGTGGAGCCATGAGCAGAAGCTGTTAACAGTCGCAGTCTCTTCACAGAAATTAATTTCCTACTATGATTTGATAAGCCTCTTTTTTTTTTACCTTTATTATCTTTTTCTTTTTTCTCTTGAATACCATTGAGTTGGATCTACTGACACAGGAGATTGCCCCTCCTTCTCCAGCAGGAGCATGTGGTGGATTTAAACCTCATTTTTCCTCCCAAGGAGCAGCTGGAGGATTTGAATTATTTGCCTTCGGGACTGCAGTGCAGCTTCTTACCACTAGGCCACCAGAGCTCTCTTACCTTTTATTATTTCTTAATAAGAATCTTCATAACCTTAATAAGATTTTCAAACCTAAGTTAATTTTTTCCTCTTCACATGGCATGTTCATTCCTTTATGGGTGCCTAATTTTCTGTGTCAGATTCTCTTTTACTTTAGATTCTTAAGATTCAGAATTGAGAGTATCTTTGATGCTTCTGTCAGTCATCTCCAACTCGTAGTAGCCTGTAAGTCATGTGAGATCCTCATTAAAGATGCAGCATTCTCACACCCAAGATTAATAATCACAACTGAGGCTTTAAAAATAAGCCAGATTTGGTGAGCTCTGGTGGTCTAGTGGCAAGAAGATGTACTTCAATCCCAGAGGTGCACGGTTCAGTTCCTCTAGATGCTCTGCTGGAAAAGGAACAATCTCCTCCTGTACCAGTCAGATCTGATTTGATGGTACACAAACACACAAAATAATAAAATAAAAATGAAAAAAAAAAGCCAGATTTGATGAGTGTTCCTTCAAGGAATCCACCATCTAGAGAAGATGAACTTATTTGTATAAGCAACTGGTAACAAAGTGGAGAGAGGTGTTTTGCTTTCCAGGACTTTTCTTGGAAACTCTGGGCTTGTTGCAAGAAATTGGTATTTCTAGATGTTTTATTGGCAGTAGTATTTGAATTAGGTGAATGGACTTTCTACAAGTATTATGAACTTGATTGACCTTTCACTTATTATTTAAGGTATTGGTGGTGTGCAGCAGAACTTAGGAGAGCTCAGAAAGTTGCCTTTTTTCCCAAGTCTTCTCCCTTGGACAGGGTGCTTCTCTCCCCTCCACCCCTACCCCTTATTTTAGTGGAAAATATTTACGCTTTCCTTTTCTGATAGATTCTTACCTACCTGGATTCTGGATTTCTCAAGTTTTACACTATCTTGGGCATTTTTCCTCCCCAATCAATCTGGCCCACCTCTGGTGCCCTAGTGCTAAGAAGCTGCACTGCAGTCCCGAAGGCACATAGTTCAAATCCACCAGCTGCTCCTTGGGAGGAAAAATGAGCAGTCTCCTCTCCCATGTGATTAAGTGCCTCTGAAAACCTGTTGGAATGTCAGCTGTGGCTTGGTTCCCACTGACAGTACACAACAACAATCTGTCTGCTGCTTTTTGGAAAATTATCAATTAGATCTTTAAAATAGATGTGATTTATTAAGAGATCCTGTCCAAAGAAATTAGGGCTCTGACTGTAGAATTATATAGACTACTACACAGTTATTCAGACACCAGGACATGATTTGCATCAATATTTGTGCCTCATAACTCTAGATCTGTATATCTATGTATTTCAGCCCTCCAAAAATGCCTTCTCTAGAACTTCAGTCATTTTTAAAGATTTCTCATGATGTAATTGTTTTCACTAGCCTATCTAAAAGAAACACACATTTGTAATCTTGCTATATGTGAAGTCTTAAACATTTATCAAAACTAAAACACTCCTCCTTCCTACACCCCCCCCCCCCCCCCATGGTTATAAAGTTACAAAGCCATACAGTTTTACCCATTTTGGGGGAAAAATAAAAAACCACACACACACATACCTCCCAAGATGCAGTGTAGGCTCCCCTGCTTGCTGTATAGTAATATGGGCCTACGTTGACTTTGCCTGATTTTCATGACCATTATTTAAGTAGTCATTTTGGGTTTTGTTGTTGTTTTTGTAGAAACTGGCCCATAGCTGACCCTCCAGCTGCTTTTCAGAGGCTGTTAATTCCATAGGAGGCGAATGCCCACCCTTCTGAGGAGCAGCTGGTGGATTGCAACGACATGTCTATGGTATTGCAGCCCAGATTCTTAGCACTAGGCCACCAGAGCTCCTTTCCAGAATTAGACTATTTAAAAGCTGCTTTTGACATTTCCTTGAAAGCTTGTTCTACATTCTTTTGTTTGTTAGTGAAAAGGTCACATAGAGAGAGCTAACCCTAACTGAGTAACCAGAGGTGATAAGTGACCAAGAAGTCCCAGTTTCTTCATTAGTCTTACTCCAGTGACAACATTTTTACCAGGAGAACATTAATGTCACTTCTTTGTTTAAAGGAGATCTTTTAATATAGTTAAATATAAACTCTTCTCACAAGGGCTTAAAGTTTTCTGGCTCAATTGAAACTTTTAAGGATTATCAGAAGAGATCAGTTGCTAAACACTGTCGAGTACGACTCATAGCTATTCTTTGAACAACGGATCTGAACCCTGTGTCATACTTCCTGACACACAAGAGCCCATTGCAGCAGTCATTCCACCTTCTTCCTCTCCTTTGACGACCCTTTACCCTTCCCAGCATCATGTCCTTCTCCAAGGAATAGCCCCTCCTAGCAACATGCCCAAAGTATGTGAGGGGAAACCTCGGCACCCTTGCCTCCAAAGAGCACTCCAGTTGCACCCTCTCCAAGACATACTTATTTGTTCCTTTGGCATTCCATGGAACATTCAGTGCTTTTCTCCAGCACCACAACTCAGACATCAATTCTTCTATTGTCTCTATTCATTGTCAGTAGTAGTTTACAATTATGTGAATGAAAATGTTTTAACCTAATCTGACTTTGTTTTGCACATATCATGCTCATATCTTCTTTGCCATTCGAGAGAGGAGTTAAATGCTTTAAGAGATGCGGTGTAATTTTTTAAAGGTTATGTAAGAAAACGAGGAGGTAGTTGGTTGGAAAGCTGTTGTTGATTGCCTTCCAGTCGAGCATGATTCTTGGCGATCCTATGAAGAAATGGCCTGAAGCCCCTCTGGAACTATCGACATTTATCAAAGTTCATTGAGTTTCAGAAGGCATGTTTAGGAAGTGGATGCCAATCCTGCTTCCAGATGCATACTTGGGTGTCCTTTTTTTCATCTTTTTTACTTTTTGTAGCAAAACTTTCCCTTTAGGGAGGTAACCAAAATTTCGTATTTTAAACAATAATACCATTAAAAATTTTAGTTAATTGTTAGGTTTGCACAATTTCTAAAAATAATGACATTTCTAATTTAATCAAATGGTTGGAACTTAATAAAAAAAATCAACTTGAAGGGTGAATATGCATGTTTTATCACAATAATTTTACAGAGTTATTTGTGCAGATAATTCGTGTAGAAAGAGTAACTGAACTTTGTTTTCAGAAAGCTACAAAGAAAACGGATAAACCCAGACTAGAAGATAAAGATGATCTAGATGTAACAGAGCTCACCAATGAAGATCTTCTGGATCAGCTTGTAAAATATGGAGTGAATCCTGGCCCCATTGTTGGTAAGCTAGTAAAAGTCAATGATGTTTTTCTGTGAAATAGTACTCTCAAATTTTTTTCCTTTCTCCCATAACAATTAAAAGGTTGGATTTTAACCGGTCTGTCCTATATTCTGTTAATTATGTGGCCTCCACATTTGTTTCCTTAAATAGAAATGAAAGTTTTAAGAGCTGAACCAGTTAATTGCCAAATTGTTATATTTCATATGGTGATCATGTCAGCATTCTTTAGTAAGGCCATAAGGTTCTAAATACGTATATGACAGTTTAGGGAAAACTGAGGTAATTAAAATGGCCAAGTTAATCTACATGAGTGGCAAGTGGCAGGCTCGTGGCTAGAACTCAAGTTAGAGTGCAGAAATTAACAAGTAGTATCACTAATATCACATGCTAGCACGATTCTGCTGAAAATTATCCAAAAACTACTGGAACAGCACATCAGCAGAGGACTGCCAGATGTGTAGGCTGGGTTTAGAAGAGGCCATGGTACTACAGGTATTATAGCTAATGTTAGATAGAGCTTGGTTGAAAGCACAGTATACCAGAGGAATGCCTATCTGTGTTTCATTATCTCTGCAAGGTGTTTAACTGTGTGGATCACAACAAACGTGCAGGGGAATAAGAATCCTAGAACATTTGATTTTGCTTATGTGAAACCTATACTTGGACCAGCAGACAGTCTTCAGAACAGAGAAAGGGAAACACTGCATGGTTCAAAATTGGGAAGGGTGTATGCCAGGGATGTGTCTCCATACCTTTTCAATCTATATGCAGAACAAATCATCTGGGAGGTTGGGCTCTGTTAGGGGTGTGGCATCAGGATTAGAGGAAGACTCATCAACCTTTTATGCAGAGGACACTACCTTGCTTGCTGAAACCAAGGAGGACCTGAAGCCCTTGCTGCAGAAAGTCAAGAACTGCAGCCTTCAATATGAATTGAAGCTCAACATCAAGAAAACTAAGGTTCTCTTCACTGGGCCAATTGGCAGCATTATGATATATGGTGAAGAGATTGAGATTGCTAACAGCTTTAGTTTGCTTGGCTCCACAATCAATACCCTTGGTACCAGCACCCAGGAAATCAAAAGACAAATTGCATTGAGAAAGTTTGCTTTCAGAGATCTCTCCAGAGTACTGAAGAGCAATGACGTCAGTCTGGAGATCAAGGTGCACCTGATCCAGGCCATAGTCATTGCAGTTACTTGCTATGCATCAGACAGCTGGACAATGACTAGAGATGATAGAAAGAGAATTGATGCCTTTGAGCTGTGGTGCTGGAGAAGAGTATTCACTATATCATGGACTGTCAGGAGAACAAAAGGTTTGTCCTAGAGTAGGTGAAACCAGGCTACTACTCCTTGGAGGAAAGGATTTTAAAAAGTTTCATCTGACATACTTTGAGCATGTTGCAGACATCATGTTTGGAAGGGTGGCGGGACAGCGCAGGAAAGGAAGACCCTCAGTGAGATGAATTAATTCAATGACTGGGTTAATGAGGGTAGGTGTGTCGGAGACAATAAGGTTGGCACAGGATTGAGCAGGGTTTAGGGCCATCATACATAGGGTCTCTGCGTGTCTCAAGGCCACTCAACAGCACATAACAATAGCATAGTGTCCTTTTTTCTGTTATGAAAGTACATTTTAAAAGTCTTAGCCACGTGAAATTGATGATACTTCTTATTTTATTTTAATGAACATTTACAGAGATTTTGGATTTTCATTCATCATTGTTGCACTTTATTCCCAACCCCCAGTTCGCTCCTCTGGAATTGATGACACTCTTATGAACAAACTTTGACCATAAAAAAGAACTTAGATTGTTATAATTTTGTTACTGTCAAGTGTATGATTTTGCTAGGCCTTATTTTTGGAGTAACAGTAAGTTAAGTGCTCAGGTGTTCCAGAAGGAAACATGTGACAGATTGCTTCTGTAAAGATTGTTGTTATATGCCATCCAATCAGAACCAGACCATAGCTGACCCTTCAGCAGATATCCAGAAGCTATAAATCACATGGAGACTACCCTTTCTTCACAGAGCAGCTACTTTTGAGTTAACAGCTCAACTCCTTATCAAGACCACCAGAGAGGAGAGCCTTGGAAACTTTTGGGGACAATTCTAGTCTGTCCTGTGGGTGAGATGAAATCTCAGAGGCAGTAGATTTGATTTGATACTGACCTCAGGTTGAGAAAGTCCTTTTCCATCTATGTTTTCTGGCCTATTGAATACTGTAGAGATTTGGAAGTTTGCTTTTTGTAAATGGGATTTAATTTTTTTTTTATCAAATAGATAATAAACCTATTCATAGAATTGCCAACTGACATTTGATGCTCTCCTTAAATCTTTTATTTAAAATTTCAAAAGAAAAACTGAAAATGTGTATTACATACCAATACGCACTAAGTCATCTTAATAGTGTTGTTGTTGTGTGCCATTGAATCACCTACAACTCATCACAACCCTGTGTTCAACAGCTCTGAAGCCTGTCATGTCCTGAGCCAATCTCACTGACTCTGACACACCAACCCCAGCTGCCCCAATAACTGTTATCAATCCATCTCATCTGGGTTCTTTCTCTCTTGCATATCCCTCCACCCACCAAGCAGGATGTCATTCTTCCAGGGCCCTTCCCTCCTGGCCACGTGCCCAAAGTGTGTGAGAAGGTGCTTCAGAATCTTAGCCTCCAAGGAGAAACTTGGTTTTACCCTCTCCAACACAGACCTATTTGTTTTCTTGCTGGTCCATGGTATGTTCAGAACGCTTCTCCAGCACTATAGCTCCAGCTCTTTAGTGCATAGTAAATAATTGCAGAGACCATGGCCTGGATCAGGTGCACCTTAGTTTCTAGACTGACATCGTTGCTTCTCAATACTCTGGAAAGGTCCCTGACAGCAGATTTACCTAATGTAATTTGTCTTTTGATTTCCTGACTGCTGGGTCCAATAGTGTTTATTGTGGAGCCAAGGAAGCTGTAATTGTTAACAGCCCCAATCTCTTCTCTATCTATCATGGTGCTGCCAGTTGGCCCAGTGGTGAGAATCTTTGTCGTCTTGATGTTGAGCTTCAATCCTCAATTGAAGATTTTACAGTCCTTGACCTTTTGCAGCAAGAGCTTCAGGTCCATCTCAGTTTCAGCAATCAGTATTGTGTCATCTGCATAATGTAGGTTGTTGATGAGCCTTCCTACAGTCCTGATGCCACTTACTCGTCATAAAGCCCAGCCTATCAAGAAAGAAATGGAACAAATAAACATTGATAGGTATTGGTGAAATGACATGGATTGGCATGGGGCATTTTGAATCAGACAGTCATATGAGATGAAAAGGTGAGAAATAATGGGGTTGCTTTTGTCGTTAAAAAGGCTGTTTCTAGATCCATCCTGAAATAGTGTTGTGAGTGATAGAATAATATCCATAGGCATACAGGGAAGACTTCTTAATAACAGTATCATTAAAATTTATGTACCAAAGCCAAAGAGGAGGAAATAGATTATTTCTACCAACTTTTGCAAAATTGATCTAACATGCAAACGAGATGGTGACTGGAATGTAAAAGTTGGGAACCAGGAAGAAATATCAGTGGCTGGAAAACATGGACTTGGTGACAGAAATGAGGCTGGGGATAGAAGGATAGAATTCTGCACAATTGATTTATTAATAGCAAATACCTTTTATAAGAAACATAAATGCATGCTATACACATGGATTTCACCTGATGGGATCTGTGGGAGGAATCATTGGAGAATTTCAGTGGCAGCAGTGAAAACTAGGCCTGGTGTTGATTGCAAAACAGACCATCAGCTACTCATGTGCAAGTTCAAATTAAAGATAAATAAAGTCAAATCCACTGGAATAAAAATTTAATCTTGAGTCTATCCCGCCTGAATTTAAGAACCAATTCAGTAACAGGTTTGAGGTCTTGAACACTAATGATCTTAATACTATTTAGCAAAACATTTCTAGCTCTTTGTTTCTTTTAAAAATTCATTTTTATTTTACACATCTCAGTTGAATGCAAGGAAAGACATACAGCTACTGTGAAACAAAAGAAAAACACTTGTTTTTACATTAATGTTGATATATTTTAAGAGTTCATTATCAGTTTATTTTGCTTCCTTCTTGGGAGCAGGGTGTATGTAATAATACCCACTTACCATAATTTTTACTGAGGAGCTCTATTTAGCTATAATTTATAGTCTTTTCCTTTTCTGTGTAACGCAGAAGGTATTTATGTTGTTGTGTACCATCTAGTCAGAACCGACCTGTAACTGACCCTCCAGTGGGTTTTTAAAGGCAGTTAATCACACAGAAAGAGATTACCCATCCTTCTGTGGAGCAGCTGGTAGATTTGAACTGTGTGCCTTTGAGATTGCAGTGCTGTTTCTTACCTCTAGGCCCCAAGATTGATTTCTTAAAAGCAAAGTTTCAAAGGGATCAAACCAGAATGAACTGGTTTGAAGCTCTGCTTAGGAGCTGTGAAGTATAAATTAGGCAATTCTTCAAGAAGTAGAATGAAATTATTGAGAAAAAATTTTTTTTTCCTATGTAGACACATAAAAGATAAAGGTCACATAGTACCAGAGGCAGTATAGCCAAGACCGAGACATAGGGAGTCTGCACAGGCAAGAGTAGTGAGTTGTACAAGGCTCTTCAGTCGGAATTGTATATGAGAGGGTTGTTGTTGTTATGTGCCGTCGAGTCGCCTGCGACTCATAGCGACCCTATGTACAACAGCCCTAAACTCTGCTCTGTCCTGTGCCAATCGCACTGTCTCTGACACTCCCATCCAATTATCCCAGTCACTGAATCAATCCACCTCATAGAGGGCCTTCCCCTCCTGCGCTCTCCCTCCACCCTCCCAAGCATGATGTCCCTCTCCAAGGACCAGTCTCTCCTCACAACATGTCCACCCGGTTTAACCCTTTCCAGGACAAATCTGTTTGTTTTCCTAGCAGTCCATGGTATTCTCAGTACTCTTCTTCAGCACCACAGCTCAAAGGCATCAATTCTCCTTCTATCCTCCTTGGTCATTGTCCAAATCTCTTAAATAAATATAGGGGCAAATAAATAAAAAGGAATAGATAAAAACACAATAGCTAAAGAATATGTAGCAGTGAATGCTTCTAAAGGAAGTTCTGTCTTAATTCAGGAACAACCAGGAAGCTATATGAGAAAAAGCTGCTGAAACTAAGGGAACAAGGAACAGAATCCAGGTCATCTACACCTCTGCCAGCAGTTTCTTCTTCAGCAGAAAACACAAGGCAGAATGGAAGTAATGACTCTGACAGATACAGTGACAATGAAGAAGGTAAAATTTTAAATTATGTCAATAAAATGTATGTCCTTTTCCCTAGACTCATTTTAAGATACAATAATTAAAAGAGAAAGATGTAAAACTGTATAATAAGGTGCATATTTTGTGTTCAAATCATTCATTATTGCCTTGCAAGTCATTTGAATATAATCTCTTGTTGACAATTCTAAAAAACAGTACAAGTATTTTCAAGCATTTAAAATTGCTCATTATCTTTTTGTTTCTAATCTCTTTTTTCTAAGAGAATCAAACAGTACACATTAATTCCCCATTTTCACATTCCTTTTAACACTTCCAAAGAAACAACCATTATCATTGATTTGATGGTTCTTTCCAGTTTCTTCTTCAGACATTTACGCATGCATATATTTAGTTCATTATAGTATTTGTGTTTTAAAACATCTGATAGCATGCTAAATGTTTACACTTTAAAAATTTTTTTTATTATTATTAATTTCAATGAAAATTTACAGAGACTTTGGATTTCCATTCATTAATTGTTGCACTTTTCTCCCCTCCCAACCCTGTCCCCCAGTACACTCCCCTCTTGGAAAAGTAAAAGAAAAATTCTTTCATTGTTTTACAGTCCCTCCCACCAGGTCTGCTCCACTATGCAGCCTTTGCTCTGGACTCCTGCCAAGACAAAAGTACTTAATCACAATCCCTTTTAAACAGTTTTTTCCCTCATCTGTTTCAATGCAGTATACATTATTTAACCCATCTTTCTCAGTCTCCCCCCAATCCCTATGTCAGTCCATGTTTACACTTTTTAATCTTCTTTTTTTATATCTAATCTTTTTATCTTATTATATATCTTATACACCGTATTATATCTGTTTTATTCCTTATAAATGTGTATATTGGTAGTATTTACACATGACATTTTCTCTTGATGGGGATTTATTTATATTATTTATATAGTGTTTGCTAGATAATTTGATTTCTAGGATGCTTTAAAGCAAATAATTGACCATGTTTTCAGTAATCTGTATTAAGAAAATTTGATGATCGTTAAATAATAAGCACAGTTTAGTGTTTTTTTTGTTTGGTTTTTTTTTTACAGTTTAGTGTTTTATAAGCTGTTATTTGTGTAACTTACTGCTTAGTTTTGCAGTTGTTTAATTTGACTCTTAAGTGCTTACATTTCTGTAAGAATTGCTTGACAGCACAGTCAGCCAAATTGCTTGTTAGGAGTATGCATTGTAGAGCCTTTTTCTTCAACAGCTCTATTTTAGCAAAGAGGCAGAGAGTAAGCTCAACACAAGTAATGCTTAAACTTCCTGCCTCTTTTGCCTCTACAGGAAAGAAGAAAGAACACAAGAAAACGAAGTCCACTAGGGATTTTGTTCCTTTTTCTGAACTTCCAACTACTCCCTCTGGTGGATTTTTTCAGGGTATTTCTTTTCCTGAAATCTCTACCCGTCCACCTTTGGGTAGGACTGAACTACAGGCAAAGAAAGTACATACTTCTAAGGGAGACGCACCTAGGGAACCTGTTATATCTACAATGTTGCCTATAAGAGGACAGTTGGAAAAGTTAGTCTCAGGGGAGAATTTGTTTATATCCTCCAAGTCTACCCAGGATAGGGGTTTAGAGGAAGGTTCATCTTCTCAGCATCAGTTTGCTGGTAGGTTGGTCTCTGCTACAGGCTCTCCACTAATTAAAGAAACCACTACTACTCACTATAAAGAAATAATAGAAAATATTTGCCGTGGAGAAAAAAGTGGAAATCGGCCATTATATACTGAAAGGCCTCATAGTTCAGATCAGTTGATATTCTCCAGTGAAAGAGAGGAATTAGAAGAGTCTGAGAGATCTCAAGTAATTTCTCCACCACTTGCCCAGGCAATCAGAGATTATGTCAATTCTCTCTTGATCCAAGGTGGGGTAGGTCATTTACCTGGGACTTCTCTCTCTCTACCCCCACTGGATGTAGAAAGCACACGGAAGAGAACTGATCGATCTAATTTTCAGGAAGCTGAATCCCAGTCTCCCCCACGAAAAGTCCCTAGATGTAGTGAAAAGTCAGTGGAAGAAAGAGATTTGGGTTCCTTTACATCTTTTCAAAATACATCCGGAGATGAATCAATGTCGTCTTGTGCTAAAACTGTTGTTTCTCGCTCACTCACTACATTAGGCATTGAAATGTCTAAGCAATCAAGACGTGATAAAATAAATTCCTCTGAACTCTCCTTCCCCCTACATGAATCTATTTTAAAAGTAATTGAAGAGGAATGGCAGCACATTGACAAGCAACTGCCCTCGTTGGCATGCAAGTATCCAGTTTCTTCTAGAGAGGCACCAGAGATATTATCAGTTCCCAAAGTAGATGATGAAATCCTAGGGTTTATTTCTGAAGCCTCTCCACCAGGAGATACTCAAGCAGCCTCCACTGAGGCTTGTGATAAACAGTTGGATTCAGCACTTTGTAAAACATATGAAGCTGCAGCATCAGGTTTGCAGATTGCAACCCATACTGCCTATGTAGTTAGAGCTATGCAGAAAGACATTAGCCAGGCTGCACAACTTCTTCGTTCTGATCCTAGTCAGACACCCCAAGCCCTTGAGATTCTGAGTAAAACATATGATGCAGCCTCATTTCTTTGTGACGCTGCATTTGATGAAGTGAAAGTGGCAGCTCGTACCATGGCATCGTCCACTCTTGGGCGACGCCGTCTCTTGCTGAAAGATTGCAAAATTAGTCCAGCTTCCAAGAATAGACTGGCAGCTATCCCCTTTAAAGGTGGAACATTATTTGGAGGAGACGTGCATAAAATAGTTAAAAAACGTGGGACTAAAAACTAAAACCCAAGTTAAAAAAAACTCTTTAATAGGAGAATTTAGGCACTTTTCTAACAGTTATAGCTATTTACATGTGAGCTATTTACCTGGTTTTTAAGATCTTCTTAGTATAAAGATAGGGCTAATTTAAAATTATCTTGCACTTAGACTCAACATGTTATTTTCATCTAAAAGTAAATATCTACATACAGCTGCTTTTTACTTTTGTATTTTTCTAAGTTACCCAAATAGGAAGCCTAGTACAAATAAGAAAGTCAGCTTTTTAGATGTCATTTCTTTATGAAAAATAAAAAACTTTTTAAAACTCTTCAAAATTACAAAAATGTCAATAATTAGACTACAAGAATACTTTTCATTGTTTTCATTCTCTTTTTATACTTTGGACAAAATTAAAATTTGTTACACATTGGAAACAGTTTCTTTTTTAGTACTTCTATCTAAATACATTTTTACTTTGTAGACCTTGTGCACATTATTATTATTACTCTTAATCTCACTTTGCTAATTTTTTATTCATGTCTATATCATTGACAGTAGTCTAGATCAGTGTAATTCAAACTATCATTCCGTAAAATGTTAATCGTCCACAGACTAGATGAGCATGTACCAAAATTTAAATGTAGGCATACCTTGTAGGTTAGTTGACAGATACAGTTAAGTATTTTTGATTTGTTGGTTAATAAAACATAATTGACTAAGAAAGCAATATATTGATTTACGTTCTCTTACAAGTGCCTTATCACTTCATAATTTGGTAATATATAGTTCTTGGACCAATGCCAGGGCATGGACCATACTTTGAGCTGTCTTACTGTAGAAAATGAGGAATAGTCTGGGAGGGTACATTTTCACCATCACGCTAGTTTGTCTGATTAGCCAAACCCTAGAATGATGGGCTGGGTTTGTTTTTGTTTGGTTTTGTTTTTTTTTTCCCCCCAAAGTTCTTCTTTCAAGATATATATGGTTCAGTGGATAGTTAGGGTTAGCTATGTAAACTTTAAAAGATAAAGTTTAAAAGTTTAAATTACTGGTTTAAGAAAAGCTTTAAATAATTATATTCTGGTGTCTATGTCTATATGAAGCAGTGTATTTATCCTGTTTTTATGACTGTAAGATTAAACAGTTTAAATAAATATAGAACACAAATTTTTGTTCTTATGGAAAATGGTGCCCTTAAGCCTAAGAAAAATATAGTCCCTAGGATGCTCCTTTTAGACATTATCTTAATTTTATACTATTCATGTCCATCTTCTCAGCTTACTGAAATTTTATTCTGTCTTCTGAAATGTACATGTATACATGTACCTACTAATTGCTATGTGATTTTAATGAATGTATTACTGTAGAATGCTTCTGCAAATTCAATAAAGTTGTTAAATTTGAACAGTTTTGTGTGGTCTCCAGAAACATGTTTTATGTGTGTTTTATTCTTGGAGTTGCAACAAATTAGGTATTTGTGGATATTCAACCCTTTTCCCCACTTCATCTTTGACCCTTTAGTAGTCTAATAGGTGAAAATACTGTAATTGTGTTGGATGCTTCTATTTGAAGGTCATGTTTTTATTAACTATTGGGGTTTAAATTTGTAAGAGAATCTATAATAAACCTTATTTAACCAATTTCCACCCACTTGTTAAGATTTTAAAATTTTTTAGTTCTTAAATATGAGTTACTAAAGATTAATTTTTTTTTTTAATTCTAAGTGTTGTATCAAACAGCTACATAGATCCATTCATAGAAATGTTGGGAGGTGGGGGATGGAGTTGATTGCTTAGTTCTAAATAAATACTGTGTATAGAGAAAAGTCACATTTTAATTTTTTATATTTTCTAGAAAACAACATTTACACTAGACTAGAAAGTTATCAAGACGTAGCTGTCTTAACCACTTTTTTTAAGTAACTACAGTGAGTTCTTGGAAAGCTAATTAAAGCTTTTGTTTAAGAAATATTCTTTATGTCCTGACAAGTAGTTTGTTTTACTAAGGTAAACAGCCATAAAACGGGAATTAAACTAAGATTTTTATCAGTATTATTAAAGTGTAGATGTCAAATGTTAAACCCCAAGTGCGGGATATTGAAGCCTATAAAAAGATAGGAATTTTTAGTTCAAGAAACATTTAAACTAGATGTCATTGAGGTGTAGGAAAGATGGGGGCAGTTTCCTGTAGTTTAAGTCTGACTACTCCTTGAAGGATCCAGCTTTGAGTTTATTCTGACTTTGTGACAGCAAGTAAAGAAAGAATTGATGTAGATTCTATCATATAGTTTTGTTGTTTTTTTCTTTAAAGTTTTGTACATCTTTTTTCTCTTCATATTCTTCATTTATATTTAATAAACTTATTCCTGTACATAGTGATACTGAGTTCTTTTTCAATATCTTAATTTTTGAAAAGCTTTCCACTAAAAACAAACTCCAAAACCCACAACAAAATAAAAGAATAATAGGAAATAGTGGTCATCAGTCTCTGGCTGGCAAAGATAAATAATCATGGACTAAAATAGTAAAAAAAAAAATCCTGAAGGCAAATTGTGGTTAAACAATTGATCTGTGGAATTAAAAACTTTTCTATGGAGGTGTAACATTAGGATGTTTGTTGTATGATTCAGAAAATAATGGCTTCTCTGGTGTTATTTCCAGACTCTAAAGTAGAGCTCAAGCTTGAGAAGAGAGAACCATTAAAGGGCAGAGCAAAGACTCCAGTAACACTCAAGCAAAGAAGAGTTGAGCACAATCAGGTATCTTTAGTTTTATGATCACTGTGTTCAGGTAACTTTAGTTTTATGATCACTGTGTACTGGTATAAGTTGACTACCTTGCATTTTAGTCTTTGGTCAATAGTTGACACTTGTATCCAAGTATACTTCATAAAATGTTAACTAAACAGCATTAAGAATCTAAATTTTGTTACTTTATTATTTTTAAGAGGAATATTTTAAGAATGGAAATGCCTAAACAAGTTCTGATTTTTTAAAAAAACATTTTAAAGACAGGCAAGCTCTGGTGGCCTAGTGTCAAGAAGCTGCACTGCAATTCCAGAAGTGTGCAGTTCAAATCCACCATATGCTCTGTTGAAGAGGAGGGACAATCTCCTCCTGTACCAGTCAGATCCAGTTTGACGGTAAACACACACACACACACACAATAATAATAATTTTTTAAAAAAATTAAAGACAGAGGTAAGGTTTTCTATTTGTCTTTTGACTTCTAGATGGCTGGCTTTGCCTTTGACCCTTTTTCACTCTAAATCTATGCAAGATTTAAGCCCATTCCGTTTTCTTTCCTTACTCTGAAAATTCTGTATAATTTGCTTTTTCAAAAGGAAAATGTAGGAAACAGCAAATAAGCACAGGTATAAAAAAATGGGCTCATTTATAGGAGGGAAAACATACAGGGGGTAATCTAACCTTGATTTGAATACAAAACAGTTTCTCTTAAGAGTCATGAATTATCTTTTCTGGCTTCTATTTATCTTAAAATCATGCATTTTCATATAACATCTTTTCAATTTCCTCAGCTCCTTTCCTCATTTGATGGAGGCTTGCAAAATTATATGTTAAGATAATTTGGTGACTGTGATAGATCGATTCTGTGATGGGGTGGTGGGAATGAGTGTGTTTGAGAAGGCAAGGTTGGCACAGGATAGAATGGCGTTTAGGGCTCTTGTACATAGGGTCGCTATCATTCGCGAGTGACTCGATAGCACATAAAAACAACAACATGGAGAACATAGGAAAATCTGAAGGATGTTGAAAATAGTACATTGAGATTTTGGCCCAGGATATGAATGGTGTATAGTGTCAGCAGGAGAACTAACAACAACTACATCAATCTTGCCTATATATTCCCAGTTTGTCTTCCTTAGCAGTACGAATAAGAGAACAGTACAGTATTCATTCCACTCTTTGCCTCTAAATGAAAATCTTTCCTTCTGTGTTGTATACATTCTCTATGTAGTTTGTATTGGTTTCCAACACAGTAAAGTTTTTACAAATGGAGTGGTTTTTGAAAGAGCAGAAATTTGTTCATTCAAAATTTGCAGAGGTCAGAAATCAAAATATTGATAGGTTCATGCTTTGGCTGAAGGATTTGGGGAGGGGAAGAATCTGTTCATGGCATTGTTAGCTCCTGTACTGGCCTACAGGCACAGTCTTTCAGCCTTTCTCTGTTGTCATTTAGTCTTCTCCCTAGGCATCAGTGTCTTTCTTAAGTGTACCTGTGGATTAGATTAGGGCCCATCATAATGGCCTCAACTTGATCTTATCTGCAAGGATCCTTTTACCAAATAGGTCACATTTGAAGGATCCAGTTTAACCTTTAGTTGACCAGTAACAAGGTTCTTGCTAGTATTTCTGCAGTAATGAAAATGACCTCTATCTACTCTCCATTATTGTAGGCACAAGCCATTTATGAATAAGCTTTGGTGGTGTAGTATGTAACAGGTCAGGTTGCTTAGAGGTCCTCAGTTCAAATCCACCCATGGTCAGAATTGGCTGCAGCTGTCAGTTTAGCCACTTACGGCCATTGATTGCGTGTGATGTGGTCATGGGGGACAAGAAACTGAATTTTTAATTTACATTTAAAAAGCCATACATGGCATTGGCTAGCATTGGCAAGAATCCTTTATAAATATTATGTCCTTCTGTTGCATCATTTCAGGGGGTACATAAGATCCTATTGTTGGTACTGAAATTAATAATAGATTTCAGATGTTGAGAGCCTAACCCATTCTTAAAAAGGTTTTCATCGCTTTTTTATTGTAAAATTATTTTATCACCCCACCCCCCCCTTCTCTATTAACTAGCTTTTTCTTACCTAGAACCTTCAGGAAATGTTTTTAGTATCTTTTACATTTAAAAGTCATACAGGACTACTAGATGGTCTAGTTCTTTCTTTCCTTTTATTTGCAAATTTCAAAATAAAGTGCCCTAAAAGCAACCATGACCAAATTTGCTGTAATACAGAGTGATACTGTAGGACAGAGTAAAATTGTCCTGTAAGAGT